TATGCTGCAAATTTGGCTGAAAATTACTTTATTTTGTAAATTCGAATATTTTATGTGTAGTGCTCTATGAACATTCCCGCTGCAAAATTCCGTTTTTGCTCTGCTACGCTAACAACCAAACTCACCAAGGAACACACATCGAATCGTTATAATATTATTTGTATGCATTTAGGTTTTACACACCAGTAAAATTTGGTGGCTTTCTTTGGTGATGAAAGAATACATGTACGAACATAAAAACTCATACTTAAATTCACAGGGACAGAATTGAGGAAGAGCATGACTGGTGTGAGCCGTGTTCCTAATAGAATACACTCTCACACATTGCATAAACACACTGAACTAACAAAAAAAATACAAGCTCTGATATGCACACACCGTGGATCATATAGGCTTTTACATGCCACGTCTTCACACGAAGTGGGACGCATCCACGTCTACACACATTGAAACTCAGGCATACTCACACATGAGCACATAGAAGAAAGCACTGTCCTGCATACAACTACACAAATTTATATACAAGCATTCACACTCACACTTATTTCACGCTAGCATACACATATAAACAAACACTGACATGCATCTATAAAATATTCTGTTTTATGTTTTTTTAAAGTTCGAACGGGTTAAAGAATTAATCGCAAGTGCCTATGTCGTGCAGTGCATTGCAAATTTTTGGTAATCTCTTAAACGCCCAAAAAAAGGGAGACGCCAACCAACCTGGCCATATTTGAAATATTGACTGGAACGGCATAGAAACAAAGGAATATTAACAAAACGTTATTAGGCAGAAATTTGATGCTATACAAAATGGGAATAAATGTTCGATAATTATACAACAATTGTTTGGTAATCGGTCAGCAAAGAACGAAATCTGTAAATGCTGTATGCGCCGACGGCGTTGGCATATACTGATGTATATCTACATTTGAAACTGTTATACAAGGGATAACTGAAAAGTTCTCAGGCCGACTACGTTCTAAAAATCTGAAGTACAGTCCCCTCTAAGACACGCATGAATAATTCACTTGAAGCCATTTTTAATCATTGATCTGAGAAAACGGTTATATATAGCTGATAGATTAGATATTGCTAAACTAGATGGACGCCATGCATGACATCCACTCGAAAGTGTAATGGTTAGTTCTTTCGTATGTTAAGACGTTAAGTGCCATCTTTACTTTCTAATTTAGTGATTATGTCTTCCTATTAATCTTAATAGTCACTAAACTTTACATATCTGCAGTGCATGGTTATGAAAAGAAATATCGTTTTAGCGAGATAAAGTATCGAAACTTAATCTGTTTGAGAAATTTGCACGTTAATCTCCACAAATATTTTTATTTACAAAATTTTGACCATGTAAATTCTCGATCATTTGATATCAAGATCATGAGCAATTTTATTACATAAATTCAAGGATATGAACATCGGTATTAAAGAATGGTAAATATTTTAGAGTGATTCGGGCCCGGATCCGGAAGTTGAAGGTTTTAGATTATTAATCAACCGTTGTTGTCATTTCGCGCAAATAGTTCAAGAAAAACTTTAAATAACCACCTAAATACATTTAACATTTTCTTGTCGTCCACAAACCATACTCATATATATATATATATATATATATATATATATATATATATATATATATATATATAGTCATCTTTACACTGTTTCTTTATCACAAGCTTCAGTGTGACTAGTCGTCCAATTGTTTTAAAGCCGGGATCGAAACCCGACCGATGTGGCATCAATCAGAGATACTAACCCTAGGCTATCGTCGAATGGTAGAGGGAATACACCAGAGAACTCAATTCAGTTGAAGAGCAATCCGTTAATATATATAGCTGCTGGCAGTTTAGCATTGAGGGCGCGACCGTGCGAAACAAGCTCGAAATGCAGTACTCTTGGAAATTCCACCATACAGAGATCAAGATTTGTTGTTTTCATTCCGCTTCGTAACTGAGTCAGGATTTTCAGACCAACATAGTATATATAAAATTTCAGATATAACTAAAATAAATATCTCTAAAAGGACAATATGAATAAAGACAAAAGGAAAACCTACCTTAGATGTCGCGTTTCGTCCTCTGAGGTGCTTTATCACGAAAATCTATTAGAGGCTGAAACGAGTCAGCTAAGGTATTTCTTCCTTTTGTCTTTATTCATATATATATATGTGTGCGTGTGTGGTGTGTGTGTGTGTGTGTGTGTGGAGAGAGAGAGAGAGAGATTTTTTATTGTGGGTAATTTTTTTTCAGAATTTTACTGCTGGTAATAATTTTCTTTTTCAAAAATATATTGTTGGTAATAATGTATTGCTGGTAATTTTTTTTTCAAAAATGTATTGCTTGTAATAATTGTTTGCCAAAAATGCATTGCTGGTATTAAAACCTATTTTTACACCTTCACGGTAGTCTTACCCCAGTTTAGGGGTTAACTATTTGCCCATAGATGGGACCCTAATAGATGCTGCCACTCCGGATCAAAGTGGACCTGGGAACAACACCAATTACCAGGTGGTTCCACGCTCCTCAAAACCTCCTGATCAGTGGCCTTTCTACCGGATGTAGTTTATCGTCATACCCAGGACCTTATCTGTTTTTATTTACTTTTAAATAATTGGCCTCTTATTTATTTACCTTATCTCTAAGTCCCCCGCATTAGCAGCAAAGAAAAATGCGTTTTAATTTCATTCAGCCAGAATGTTGTATTGAGTACTTATGCTTTTTTGTAATTCTATCGATAAGCTTGGCAGCTGATCTTGCCTCTTACCGAGCTTTGACTGTTGAGTGGGGGGGGGACAATTGATTGGTCTCATTCAGTGCCTCGAAAACTAAATTAGAGACGTTTCATCATCAACGGGTGTTCTCTCAGAGAGGCCCCTTGCCATGATCACCGATTGGGACTTAAGCTCAACCCGGTCCTCATACATACGATTCATCGGTAAAGATGCTGGAAAAATGATTTGCTCTCTTTATCGGTCCAGTAAGTAATTGACTCCTCCCGCTATCTTATACCTTTACAAGAGCCAGATCAGGTCTAAAATGGAGGACTGCTGCCATTTATGGGCCGGGGATGTCTAGTCTTCACTTTCTCGTCTCGATAGAGTTCAAAAGAATCTCCTCATCCATGTGGAAGACGAATTATCTTCCCCCCCCCCTACAACCCCTTTCTCAGAGGCAAAACGGCGCAGGCATCTCGCTGTTTTATCGCTATTCCCATGGAAAGTTCGAAGACGAACTACATTCCTTAGTTCCACCAGTTAAGATTAAGGCTGTCCATGCTACGCACATTGTAACGAACTACCTTCATTTCCTTCGTAATCCATCGTTGAAATCAGATCAATCCATTTATATTAAGAAATGGACAAAGTCCGACAATTTATTTATTAAAGACATTTTTATGTTTAACGTTCTTTTTTATAGATACAAGTATTTTATAGATACAAGAATAAACAGAGCATTTACTTAAATACTTGTATCTATAAAAATCAATCCATTTATATAAACTATATTCAATTCAAAAGCCATTGTTTTGAAAGCTCTATATTTGTACAAATCACATCTATATCAGATTTCTATTAATTAGGAATAGACCTGTCTGGTCCACCAGTTCTAATCTTCAAGGCTAAAAACAGCCATGCAACGCACATTGTAGCGGACCCCCGTCATTCCTTTTGTATTACATTGGTGAGATGTATGTTCCACCCGAGCAGCTTCCTATGATTCGTGGAACCGACTCCCAAGAAACTGTTTCCCCGATCATTACAATCTTGGCCTGTTCATGTCTAGAGCCAACCGCTATCGTCCCCATATATTCCCATAAACAGTGCCTCTTACACTGTAACCGTTTACCTCGAGTGTCTCTCGGCTCTTGTACAGGGTGAACATCATTGTTAAAAAATGTACTCTACTCAAGAAGCTAAGAGGCAATTTTCGTATTTTATTTGTTAAATAACCAATAATTTTAGAGCATGACTCATGACACTTACCTGCATTTCTAGCATTCTGGCATCCGTTTAAGATTAGTTAGTACATTCTTAATCTTACATTGATACTGATGCCAAAAGGAGAAACGTGTCTGGGGTATATCACACCCGCGCTTTTCCCACCCTTATCAAGCTTCAGCCCGGCCCTATCGCAATCCGCTTTGGTTTCACATCCGATACATAACCGGCATAAGATGAGGTAACTGATTATTTTAGGCAGAGAAATGGCACGAATATGCCGATGGGTGGTTAATGAGACAGCGATATCAAAGATGGGATTCCATGTAATGTGTTCAAACCGTTAAAGATTTTATCAAAGTCCGGGAAACTCATGGTCAATGGTCACTTAAAAATCTTTTGTACTCAACTGACTTATTTTAAATCATAAATAATCATTTTGCAATGTAAAAATAAGCCTTATTTTATTCTAAGGTTCACCCTATACAAGGTCCAAGAGTAACTCAAGGTAGAGGATTAATGTGTGGTGTTGTATGATTTTTTGATTTTTGTTTTTTTTTTTTTTTTAGTTCTTTGTTTTTTTTTTAACGATTTATCAATATTTTGCAAGTTATTCAAAGCCAGAAAATATTTTTAGAATGTAAGAATTTTCTCGGAGATAATAATGATTTACTGATACAATCCAACAAATTAACCTATCGCTGAGGAATAAGAGGTGGATTATCAACACTTTGCGAGTTATTTAAAGCAAGAAAATATTTTAGATCGTTTTAAGGATGAAAGTTTTACTAATTAACCCATAGCTGGGGATAAAAGAGGTAGATTCATAATTTTCTCAAGTGTATTTTCGCGTAAGTGAATATAACGAAACCGACTGGCGTCTCCGAACCGTTATCCATTACACTACCCGCACATCTAAGCTCACACACCTGGTATTCCCAACCGGTCACTTATCTAGGTACCGACAAGACTTGACGTTGCTTAACTTCGGTGATTGTACGAGAACCGGTGTTTCAATGTGATATGCCCGTAAGCCCATTGCTCCAAGCTTACAGCACCTGGTATTTGGAAGCGGTCACCCATCTAGGTACCGACAAGACTTGACGTTGCTTAACTTCGGTGATTGTACGAGAACCGATGTTTCATGGTGATATGCCCGTAAGCCCATTGCTCCAAGCTTACAATCTTACAGCACCTGGTATTTGGAAGCGGTCACCCATCTAGGTCACCCATCTAGGTACTGACCAGACTCGATGTTGCTTAACTTCGGTGATTGTATGAGAACCGGTGTTTCAATGTGATATGGCCGTAAGCCCATTTCTCCAACCATGCAAGCTTACAGGACCTGGTATTTGGAAGCGGTCACCCATCTAGATACTGACCAGACTCGACGTTACTTAACTTCAGTAATCGTACGAGAACCGGTGTTTCAATGTGATATGGGCGTCACCTGGTGTTGTATGAGATTGCGAAAAGGCAAGAAGAGCAGTTCATAAGATTATGTAGGAAAAATAGCGGTTAACTCTAGACTTGGAGAGGTTAAGTTTACTCCTGAAGAAAGCACGGAACTCATGGGTCGAAACGCTGTTTTGAAAGCACCCAGTATAAGAATATTATTTTCTTCTGAATTTCTGAGACGTGATGTTGTTACTATTGTGTACGGATTTCCTAGACTTTGTTATTTTTATTGTAACGTTGTGACCATTGCTCTTTACGGTCTCCCTCGGGATTACATTGAAGAAAGAAAGGAAGGAAAGCAGGAAGGAGGGAAAAACAAAGAAAAAAGAAATAAAGAAAGAAAATACGAAAAAAGAAAGAAAAAAAGAAAATATAGTAAAGAGTTTAACCTATATACTTCTAACGTCAGTTTAAATAGATGTTTTTTCCATATATTGTAACCATTTTATTTTTATTTTCTTGATATCAGGTGAAAATTTGAAAAATTTTCCAACACATTTTCAAAATGATATTCTATTAAATTATGCATTTTTATTTCTTTAAACCTTCATTAGTACTGTGTTTTTTTTCAAAATGCTTTTATTTTTATTTTGCTTATAGTATATAAACTTTAGTTTTATTTTGTTTTATTTTCATAGAATAAATACTTAAAAAAAAGGTTTTATTTGAAAAAAAAAACAAATTAAAAGGCCAATATTAAAATTGAATTTATAATTTAAAATATTTTGACGAAAGAAAGAAAGAAAGAAAGAAAGAAAGAAAGACGAGATTTAGAAAACGTAGGAAGGAACAAAAAAGTAGTAGATAGAAGAAAAAAATGAAATATCAAAGATCCGAAAGAAGAAGAAGAAGAAGAAGAAGAACAACAACAACAACAACAAAGGACAAATATAGGGGAAAGATAAACTATATGAGACTGTGTGAAGCAATACAAAGATGACAGGAGACGTACTAAACTCAACAACAGTTTTTATTCAAACTGCCTCACGATCTCGTTTGCTTCCAGCATTTTCTACTAGGACCGGAAGCGCTTACAAGTCATCATCATCAACATTGCTGTTATAGAACGCAAGCAACCTATTTAAAATATCAGTCAGTCAGTTAATTGCCACGCGTGATACACGCTTGGGCGATCAAGTATCTTTTGACACATGACTGACAAGGCAGAAGATTTTCCCCGCAATAGATTGCCATTTCTTTCTGTGGTATACTGGTTGCCAACCAAGGCTAAAGAACCCAGTTTGTTCTGCTATTTAACCCATAGATTGGGGGAGAAGCGATTGATTCATACCTTTCCCACGGGTATTTGGGCGTAAGTGAATAAAGTGAATGAAATTCGAACTCGGCTCTTCGTGTTCTTATTCCGAGCCGATATCCATTACGCCACAATGCACATCCACCCAGACTTAAAAATATGCACAGTACTAAAAGTACGAACAAGACGAGATATCCCTAGACATGGGCAGTGAAACGAGAACAGTCTACCCCCGTAAATTGAATAAAGGTTTCAGTTCGGAATTTCCTGTAGGTTACCCAGTTGGGTATACACCTAAAGAAGGCCGGACAACACAAGGACCGAATGAGGTTGTGATAAGGACAACTGTCTCCATGTAAATAGTGTAAATAACCACTTACAATATTATGGTAATGGTAATATTGGCCGTTTCCCTATAAGGAAACATTTGATGTTCATTTACCGATCAGCCGGTATTGTTTTCAGTTGAAATTTATAAAATCTTTGAATCCCCGTTACTACATTGAAGTATTATCTCAGTATAAATAGCGTGGCGTTTTCAAAGAAACCTACTTAAAATATTATAGATATATCAGTTAGTTCTTAATTTGCTTATAGTATACTGACTTTAGTTTTCTTTATTGTTTTTTATAGAATATAAACCGAAAAGAAAAAGGTTTTTATTTGAAAAAAAAATTAAAATTAAAAGTTCAATATTAAAATTGAATTTATAATTTTAATTATTTTCACAAAAGAAAGAAAGAAAAAGAAAGGAGGAAAAATGAAAAAAGGAAAAATGAAAAAAAGAAGGAGAAAGAAAGAACTAAAGAAAGAAAGAAAGAAAGAAAGAAAGAAAGAAAGAAAGAAAGATGAGATTTGGAAGACGCTAGAAGAAACCAAAAAGGAGTAGATAGATAGAAGAAAAAATTAAATATCAAAGACCCGAAAAGCAAACAGCAATAAAAAGAGATTTTAAAAATTGGGGGGGGAAGAAGAAGAAGAAGAAGAAGAAGAAGAAGAAGAAGAAGAAGAAGAAGAAGAAGAAGAAGAAAGGACAAATATAGTAAAGGATGAGCGGGAAGAAAAGCAAAAAAAAAAAAGAGGGAATACGATAAGGTAACAACGAAAGTTAGTACGTCCAGGATTGTCGGAACATGTTAATAACATGTGTTAGTCATGGGATCACGAGAGCGAAAGAGTCGGACCTGAAACGTTCATATTGCAGGACGCCGGGGCAAATCATACCAATTTGCAGTGTTTTCTGACTCCGTTCCCTTTCATTAGCAAATGCCTGTCGGCATTGCTGTAACGTTTGCCATATGACGTCATCAATTGTTTGTGCGACCTCAAGTAAAGACAGGGCCACCTTTGGAGTCGGTTTGGAATGACAAGCATTGGCAAAGTGCGCATGCGCACCTCACACACACACATTCTTTCTCTCTCGCTCTCTCTCTCTCTCTCTCTCTCTCACACACACACACACACACACACACTCTCTCTCTCTCACTCTCTCTCTCTTTTCTCTCCTGTATTCTATTTTTCTTTGTTTCTTTTCATCCCCTCTGTCTTTCCCCCTCTACCTCGTCTCTCTCATTCTCTCTTCTCTTCTCGACCTGCCCTTGCTCCTTCTTTTCTTTCTCTCCTCTCTTTCTTCTCTCTCTCTCTCTCTCTCTCTCTCTCTCGCTTTTATCCTCTCTTTCTTTTTTTTTCTCTCTTTTCTTTCATTTCCTTGAGTCTTTCCGTCTCTAACTTTCTCTGCGTCGATTCAGGGTCTCTTCACCGTTCAGTGGTGTTTATAACCATTATTACAAAAAATGAGTTCGATCCTCGCTGAAGGCACCATACTTAGTGAAAATTATCGATGTAGGAATCTCTCGGACTCTTGGGTATGTCTCTCTTTACACAATCGCTCTTTATCTCTTCTCTCTCTCTCTCTCTCTCTCTCTCACACACACACACACTCACACACACTCTCACTCTCTTCTCTCTATCACTCTCTCTCTCACACACACTCTCTCTCACTCTCTCTCTCTCACTCTCTTCTCTCTCTCTCTCTCTCACCTTTCAACCGCTCTTCCTATCAAATTTCCCATATGGACATTCATATTAACTCTTCCTCTCACAAACATGCGCAAAGTTTCTATAGACACACATACACACAAAAACACATACATAAGGAAAAACTCTTTCACACATACGCACGTACGTTTCTCTCTCTCTCTCTCTCTCTCTCTCTCTCTCTCTCTCTCTCTCTCTTTTCTCCTGTATTCTATTTCTCATTGATTCTTTCTTTCTTTCTTTCTTTCAATTCTCTCTCTTTCCTCCTCTACCCGCCCTCTCTCTCTCTCTCTCTCTCTTTTCCATTCGTTCTCTCTTTCTTTGCATTTCTTGTTCTCCCCGTTCTCTTTTTGTCTATCTTTACCCCTCCTTTTCATTCCCTCCTCTGTTTTTCTCTTTATCTCTCTCTCTTTCTCTCTCTCTCTCTATCTCTCTTATCCTCTCTTTCTTTTCTTCCTTTCTTTTCTTTCATTTCTTTGAGCCTTTCCATGACACCCAAACACACGCCCTTTCACCCGTAATCACTTTGTTATTTAATCAAAACATGCAACCAATGTTATCTCTATTCTTCTCTCTTTATTTAACTTACCGACTCTCTCTCTCTCTCGCTCTCTCTCTCTCTCTGTGTGTGTGTGTGTGTGTGTGTGTGTGTGTGTGTGGAGGGGTCTTTTATTCGTATATACATTTCCCACGCCTTTTTACTTACTGATAACTTATCATTCATACTTCTTCAACACATAATGGCAATAGTAATAGTGAAGTTAACTGTTTGCTTATAAGAAAACATTCGGCATTCATTAAACGAACAGTTACGATTATAGCCAGCTTAAATTTATCAAATCTTTCTCTTAAAATAGTTTTTTTTTTCGGGGAAATAGGTTTCTCAAGTCCCCTAACTGTTATCGCTCTTTCTAGTACTGGTTGGAATGTAAACATCTTGATTATGCCTTTATTTTCTCATCGAGTTACATATGCTATCCATTTTAGTTGTTGCTTCTCTTGAAAGTCTTCAAGTGATGTGATTTTGTACTTTGGCAAGGAAAAATAATCCCTACATAAAAATTCAGCATTAAATATGAAATTAAAATAAGTATTAATTATAATAATTAAAATTCGGTATTAATTAGAGGTTTCCAAAAGAAATCTAATATTAATTATAGGTTTTTATATACAGGGTTTGGCAGAAATACTTCCCAAATATACCTCTCAGAAATACCTCCCACATAATAATAAGACATTAGCTAGATAGACTAATGTTTCGTCTGTATGAAAAGGGTTTTGGGGTTTAAAATAATCCATCGTCTACAACAGTGATTCTCAACATGGCCCAGGTGGACCACCGGTGGTCCACATAGCATTTCTAGTGGTCCACTGAGAATGCGTAGCCATGAAAAATTGTAGCCATTTCACAAAAATGTATCTAACTTATTCATACTTTGAAGAATTAAAATACTGGTTTGTAGACCTAGAATATTATAAACCAGGAGATGAAAATGTAGAGTTGGCTGAAATGTTGCGAAACTGAGAAGAAGAGCTGACAACAAAGAAGGTGTCATTGCCTACATATCGATAAAGGACTCACACCCAAATATTATCCAACATGTAAAATCAAGCATCATGTCTTTCCCTACCACATGAATGGTGGAATCTAGATTTTCGGCTGCTGTGGATGTTTTCAGTAGAAAAAGAAATAAATTAA